ATAACTGCAATTTTGCTACTGTTATGAATTGTAATGTAAATATCTGATATGCAGGATATCTGTGAAAGGGGGTTATTAGACTGCTAAGGGATCACGGCCCACATGTTGAGAACCACTGCCTTAGATGATAGAAGATGTCACGTGACAACTCAACTGGAGAATTTTCATGTTCTTTCTAAGTTTATCTAAGTCTATAGCACTAATTGTCCATTAAATGCCATTTCTCTTAAGTTGCTCTTAAATTCCATGCATTCTACCATCCAATTGATAGATGCATGTCCTGCTCAGCATCCCTATAATACACAAATGCAAATTATTGAGTTCTCACAAATTGGGTACCATTGTGATTATCTGTATTAATTCTTCAATCTCCACAACTCTGTGATTTAGATACTAACATTATTCCCATTTCATGGAAAAAGGAATTGAAGCTCAGAGCCAGTAAGCATCCTTCCCAGCTACATAATGAAGACATATAGGGAACACATTAAGAACCATCTAGTTCTCAAACCATAAGGATATATTGTTTTCTCACATATTTCCAAACAGGCCCTTGAAAGCTAGAAACTTAATACTTCTCAGTCAAAAGAGCATATGTTGGGAAACACAATTTGGAGACTCAGACATTCAAGGTGAATAGCTGACCAAGTCCCAATTTTTAAAAACAATTTCTTATGCCTGTTTTTCTAGCTTGGACCTATTAATTTGTTACTTTTCTTATTATAAGAAATGCTATTTCTGTTTAAGTGCTGCTAGATTTGGAAGTCATTCTTATGACTAAATATTTGTTTGCCTGTAAGAGCCCAGGCTAAGGCTATGCTGCCAGTGGGTGCTCAATAAAGATTAATGGATGGCTCTGTATATCTGTGTGGGAGTCTTGTACTTAAGATCTGCCCAGCTCTTCGAAAGCAGCATAAATGATGCAGGAAGATAAACATCAAAGATCACCACCCTACCACGAGATCATAGGTTTCTGGACCAGGCTATGTCAGCTAAAGCATCCCAAAAGCTCAGATACTGGTGAGAATGCCACTCGTGTTCTCTCTCTCTCTCTCTCTCTCTCTCTCTCTCTCTCTCTCTCCAGAAACAGTGCGAAAACGAGACTCCACAGCCATTTCCAGGACTAATAACAAATATGAGAAAAAACTTGCTTTACCGATGAACACTAAAGAAAACCAAATATTTTAATCGACACGTTTTCTATCATTCCATTGTATATATAAAGAAGATGAATAAGAAGCCACATCAGATGCTTTATTCAAACTGTCAGAACAAGAGATGAAGCATGAGTAACTCTCCAGAGAGGCTTCTGTGGACTAGAGCGGTAGAAAATGACAGTAAGCAGCCATACATTCATTTACTACCGAGTCATCCCTGAATATCGTGGGGAAACAGAAACCGTTTTCTCCCAAAGTGCATGGTGGGGGTATTTCTCAAAGAAGAGGAAGGAGGGTGATAACTTTAACTTACTTTACAAAAAAAGCCAAATGCTCCTGTGTGCCCTCAGAAATGTGCTTGTTATTTGGGAGGGGGTGCCTTCATTCTCAACAAGCAGCACTGGACATCTTGAGAAACTTCAGCGGAGTTCTAGGATGTCAGAACAGTTGCCTGCAATATCAAACTTTGAATTGCCTTAAAAAGAAGTGGACGAAGGAATGTCCCATGTTACCACCCTTCTCAGGCTGGACTAATGTATTAATATTATGAAGAGATCATCCCAGTGAGCTCACCCGATGGTCCCGACTCTGCACTGGTCTGGGTCTTCCCATCTGCATGAGAAGATGGAGACTAATTTATTGGGGCTGATCTTGACTCTAGCACATCACATTCTTATTGATGAATTCTCTCATGAAGTGAGCATCCTTAAAAGGAAAGCCCTTTGTGTCCCAGACATTTGATGAGCATTTATTTATCTCCATCTTTTAAAAACTCCTTTTTATTTCAAACATTCTTTCCATCAAACTCTTCTTAGTAATTAAGATGGCTTTATGAATTGTGATATTTTGGAACATGAAAGAAGAGTTCGTTTCATTAGTACATTTCCTTCCACTGTGGGCACGCATTATGGTTCACCATTTTCTCACCCCAGAGAAATATCTTTGGGAAACAAGCAAGAAGGTGTGTTGGGAAGATAGGTGTTGGTATTATGGCCTGAAATGATTGGCCTCTGTGTTTGCTACTTAAAAATACATGAACAAAAATTTGCAAAATATATATGCCAAAGATATTGGTGCTCATTTATAAAAACCATTATCCTAAAATGAAAGTTAAGATTTTGAGAGCTGGAAGGCCATGTCTTATTACCAGTAGCTAGAGCCTTATCAGCAGCCTGGCTGATGGTGACAGAACATGGTGCAGCTGGACCATTGGAAAGTAAGCCCAGTTCTCTAGTGTTGACTCTCCCAGAAAGCCTTCAAGGAGCTGCCGACATTCCCCTCCAAGGAATCAATGAATCCATTTCTATCTGTCACTTGACCTTACTTAGTTTTGAATCAGAGAGAAGGGACTTAACTGTTGGGTTAGGGGAGAGTAAGGAGAGGCTGCAGAATCTTGTAGGAGATGCCATGCCTTGGAACCTACAGGCAAGACCATTTGCTGGTAGTCACCTACGATTTATTGCTTGCTTGTTATATTATTACTTGTTCCTGCCTCTCATTTCAGATTCTCACCCTGTTGTAATAAGTAACTGCCTTCCCAGCCATCATTCTGTATTGACAAGTAAATGTCACCCATGTTTGATTGACATCTATTACTCCTGAATGCAGAAGTACGATTTGGGAATCAATTCTACTTACTTACTTAAAACCATTCATATGTGTCAAATGTATTTTGTTGGTGGAATAACCCTCCTAATACCCACTCTCTGGGGGCCTTCTATTGATATTCTAAATTCAAGTGGTTTCTTCATCCAGCTCTTCCACTGTTAGGGGTGGTGGCTTTTCTTTGTCATAATTTCCCTACTTCCCCTCCCCCAATTCACATCTGGGAAATTTGCTATGGCGCCTACAGAACTCTCTGTGTGTCTTATGAAATCTGGCACCACGCAGACGCCACTTGCTTTGTTGTAAGACCTTCGAAGGCATACTGACAAGTGATTATTCCTCCTGCATGCTGCACCTTTAAGCAAATGCAACTTCAAGTGCAATGATGGTATCTTCTAAAGGGCAACTGCAATTGGAAGCCCCTAAGTCAAATGCTCACATATGCTCTCACCATTGTGTGGCACTTGTAAGAACCAGCTCTCCTTCTTTTGGGTGGTGGACAAGTTCATTTAAATCAAGAAATGTCTTTTGGTTTTTAAATACACTTTACTGTTCTCAGGGTAACATCTTATTTCATTTAGGAGGCTGTGGAAGCAAATGCTAAGGTTAAAAAAAAAAAACAACTCACATCTACTGTCTGTCTGGAAAATTGGAAAGGGCCCTCCTTATGTTAAAAGTGGCATTTGAAAAACACCTGAAGCACTGATTGTAGATGAGCCAGGAGAGAAATATTGTCACCAAACCTCCCTCCTTTCAACCTTCGCTTCCACCTCCAACAAGGGCTGCTGGCTCTGGGGAAATTGACTTAGGTGTGACCCTTGAGTCCTGAGAGCTGTCACACAGCTGTGTCCCTCCCCTAGTGTGTCCAGCTAGGGAGCTGCCATCGCCTGGATTAGACAAGGGAGTATTCAGGATTTCACTGTTCATCACTTGCAGAGAAGGAAAAAAAAAAAAAAAAAAGGCCGAAAAAAAAAAATCCCACATTGTCAGAGTAATGCCAAACTCTGTGTGAGTGGGATGAGCAGAGCAGATGCTGCAGAGAGATGCCAAAGCGGCTCCCCTTCCTCTGTGCCTTGGGTTCCTATAAATTGCTCCGGCGCGCGTTTGTCAGCCTCCTCTTCTCCTGGCAGGTGGTACCCAGGCAGAATTCTGCGTTCAGCCTCTCTCGCTCGGCTCTCGCCGCTGCTGGCTAGCTCCTATCTCCAGCCCTGAGCCTCTCTGAGCCGCTGATCCTGCG